GGCCGCCGGGGGCCCGGGGCGGCCCCAGCGTCTCTCCAGGCTTTCGTCCTAACGCCGCTGGGTGGTCTCCCCGCACAGCCCTGCTTCCTCAAGGACTGGGAGCTCCACGTCCATTTCAAGATCCATGGAGCCGGCAAGAAGAACCTGCATGGGGACGGCCTGGCGCTGTGGTACACACAGGAGCGCCTGGTGCCAGGTACGGGGCACAGTCGGGGGCCACCTGGCCGGGCTGAGGCCTTCTCAGCAGTCACACGTGCCCTGGGGCAGCCCAAGGACTGCCCTTGGAGCTGCCCCTGCCCTGGGAGGCTTCTTGCCAGGGAAGGCGTTTGAGCTCCCCTCTCCCTGGTTTTTCTGGGTTGGGATGTTGTGTCCTGTGCGTTCTGACCTGGAAATGGAGATGCCCTCAGTCATCTGCCTGGCAATAAACAGCTCTTGCAGCTCTTCCCAATAGAAGTATCTGAGCATGAATTTCTCCTGAGTGCCTTCTGTTCCCTGTGTTTTGCCCTGTTCCAGGTCCTGTCTTTGGCAGTAAGGACAACTTTCATGGACTGGCTGTCTTCCTCGATACGTATCCCAATGATGAAGCGACAGAGGTGAGTGGTTCAGGGAGCTCATTCAGTGCTGAGGAAGCTGTTTCCTCATGGATTCATGCTCCAAGTGCTTCACGCCCAGACCAAGGAGAAGTCTGTCTTTGTGTGAGAGTGGGCTGCTCTTCCTGCTATGGGAGCTGGTAAAGGGAAGAGTTTGGACACGCAGTAAGAGATAAGAAGGGCCTTGCTCCATCTTCTGCCGTTGTTGACTACACAGAAGGCCTTTGTTTCCAAGGCCTTTTCACCTTGGGATGAGAGGGCAGCGTGCAGCTGGTGCAAACTATGCACCACCTGTTAAGTTTGAGGAATGCACATGGAAGTGTATTCATCCCACATGCCGTTTCTTGAACTTTTCTGTGCTCTGATCATTCTAGGTTGTTGTTTCCAACTTGGGGATCTCTAAAAGAGAAACTCCTGAGCTGGCTTTTTGGTCCAGAATTCCCCATGGCTGAAATACAGATCAGGCTCGTGGGGGGCTGTTGGTCCTTTGCTGCTGCTCCGTGTTCATGGATGTTGTTACGGCACAGTCAGAAAACATAACTGTGCTCATGAGATCTATTGCACCAAAACCATGTCACTTAAGTCATAAAGCACCTGGAAATGACCCCATCCCCCTCCTGTCTCGATGCTCACTGAGCACTGAGTTCTTGTCTCCAGTTGGCCTCTTCCAGCATACATAATCTGCTGATCACAAAGCCCTGAGCGTGGTTGTGCTGCTCATGTGAGATTTCTCCCCGTTCTGAGCCCTGTGCTCTGCTCTTGCACTTACCCGGCCAGGTGCTCACTCTGTGACTCTGGGGTGGTCTCGTGCTGGCCACGCGGTTGGTGTGGGCTCATGGGGGGGTCTTGTTACAGAAGGTCAGGAATGGCTGCTCTGCTTTAGCCAGAACAAGCTCAGTTTAGAAGCAGCTTTACATAGGAAAGGAGCCTTGATTTAATTGCGCTGCCCTCCGTACCTGACCGTGCAGCCAAGCAAAGCTCTGCTGCCGTGCCTGGCTGAGGTTTCTGACCAGGCAGGGGAAGGTGGCTCTTGGTCTGCAGCTCAAAGGCTGCTGCCACCTGAAAGCAGCGCTCTCCTCCCTGCAGCGCGTGTTCCCCTACATCTCTGCCATGGTGAACAACGGCTCCCTGACGTATGACCACAGTAAGGACGGGCGCTGGACGGAGCTGGCAGGATGCACCGCCGACCTTCGGAACCAGAACCACGACACTTTCCTGGCGATTCGGTACTCCCGAGGCCGCCTGACGGTGAGATGTGGCAGACACCTCCTGTGGGGGGTGTCTCATGCACTTTAGATGGGGTGGTGCTGAGTGGCTGGTGTTGCTGTGTCAGTTGGTGACCTGGCGATGGTTTTCCAGGCTCTGCCACCTGCGCCTCCAGCTCCAAAAGAGCTGCAGGTTGGCGGTGCGTGTTTCTGGTGTGACGCTCACCTCCTTTTATAGGTGATGACCGATGTGGAAGACAAGAACGAATGGAAGAACTGCATTGACATTGCAGGGGTGCAGCTGCCAACCGGCTACTTCTTTGGTGCTTCTGCTGGCACTGGAGACTTGTCTGGTAAGAGCAGGCTTTGCTTGCAGGAATACCTGCTGTCTGGAGCCTGGAATAGAATGCTATGGATGCGTTGGATGGCTTCTGTTGAGTTGTTGAAATCTTGAGACCCTGTTGGGTAGGGAACCGTGGCCTGAGGAACATCTCAAATTGCAGTTTGATACCTGGGGTGCGAGGATGGTTGGAAAGGGAAGGAGATCTGGACCTGGCAGAGCACGATCCTAGGGCTGTTCCGAGTGTGCTCGGAGCTTCTGACAATGGTGGTGGTTGTTTCCTAGACAATCATGACATTATCTCGATGAAGTTATTCCAGCTCATGGTGGAGCATCCTCTAGAAGATGAGACTGTTGACTGGACCAAGATTGAGCCTAGCGTCAGCCTTCTTAAATCACCCAAAGGTGAGTCTCTAGGCTTCAGAAACCTTCGGTGGAGCATTGGGACGTTGGGGCTGGACTCTTAAGGGACTGCTGGAAGGTACCAGAGCTGTGACTCCCTGCAAAACCCTGCAGGAGCTGAGGGTGGGTCGGTCTCTGTAGCTGTTCCTGTCCTTGCAGACAACGTGGATGACCCGACGGGGAATTTCCGAAGCGGGCCTCTGACGGGCTGGAAGGTGTTCCTGCTCCTGCTCTGCGCGCTGCTGGGCATCATTGTCTGCGCTGTGGTGGGAGCCGTGGTCTTCCAGAAACGCCAGGAGCGGAACAAGCGTTTCTACTAGCGAGGACCCAAACCCATCTTTTCTATGGGGAGCTGTAAAAACTGTGGTTTCTAAAAGCTGTTTCTGAGAAATATCAGAAGTATTTTCTTATCCGTCTGTTTGGCTGTAACCCCTGCCCTGCCCTCGGTGTCTGGCGGATTGGACCAAGGGGAGTAATACCCCCAAGGGCTGTAAGAGGGGGAGACTGGAGGTTGCTCCCCATTATTCCAGCGCTTCTCCTGCCGGCCGGGCCCTGCTGTGCTACCCGGGGTGAGGGCGAGCGGCGGCGGGTGTGAATGTAGAGGGCTGTGGGGAGGGGGCTGTGAGTTGGGGCATTAAAGGACTGACACCAACTGCGGCTCAGGCTCTGACTGGGGTGGGGAAAGGAGAGGGGGCTGGTCCTTGGGCCTGGGGGGTGG